AAGTCAGTTCTATTCACAATAACATGAAATACTTAGTAATGCTAATACAACAGTGTCTTTATATAATTGCATATAGTGTTACTGTTGTTCTTTTAGTGCATTACTTGCTCGGCCTTGCTGAGTTCAGAATCCCCTGTGTGTTGTGAAGAGGCGGTGGGAAAGTTCAGTTGTTACATTACACATAAAATGAACTACATAGTATTTTTATGTGATTATTCGGACAGCCTGTGTCCCTTTCAGTGCTACTCTTTTTGACCACTTCTGAAAGTACATCCATTCTGACTATTTCATCTGAGTTTTAAATGTTATTTGCATATTTCTTCTTGGAATCAAAACCTGATCTCATGACCTAGATGCTAAATTGAAGTTAATTATTCCCTCATGCACAAACCTTGGGCAATAAACTCAAAAAATCAAGTTACTCACTTATGAATTCAAAATGTCTGTAGAGAGAAATAGAGAAACATACTGGGAAGAGTCATATGATGTTCAAATTACTGGTTAGGAATGATCCATAAAAGGGCCAGAGGGAGTGGCATGCTTTCAAAAATGGCATCAGCTGCTCCTGAGTCACTGACCATTCAAAAACAAATTACTGAGAGCTTATGGACCAGTCAGTGCTCTGGTAAAAAGCTAGTGACCAATCTGGATTTGGTCACCAGACCTCCCTCTGGTGCTGTGGAACTGTGCCTCTAGTCCACAGTGACAGAGCTCCCAGCTCACCTGCCCTTGTAGAGCAGCCCATTCATTTTGCTTCCCAACTACAGCTACACAAACACAAGGTTGAGGAAATGGATCCCTTGATATACTCAATGTAGCACCCCAAATTAAAAGCACACAGTGAGAACCTCCTTCAAACTTCTGGTCTATTTTACAGAATGTGAAAAAAAATGCATAGGTGACTGTATATGTTGAAAGAACAATAACCTAAATATGGCACAGCACTTTGAAAAGTGAAGAATTATCTCCTTTCTTTTGATATATCCTGAAGCAAAATAATATTCATAAAATATTTCTTTTCAGGGCAGACGTACTAGATACAATGTTAAACTTTTGTTTGTTTTTGTTCAGACAGGCTCAGAAAAAAGCCCTGTAATTAGTTGCTTGACACAAAGTCTCTTGGATCACTTTAAGAGGAAGCAGCATAATGAAATGTTACAAGACCAAGCCAGATCAACCTGCTCTGCTGGCAGCTCTTTGCTGACTCCTGTTCCTCCTTCAGTCCTTCCTGAACTGTGCTGAAATCAAGCTGTCCTGTATATGCTGCCCAAGACCAAACAGTGCCTCAGAGCCCAGAGCCTTCCTTAATGCAATTGCTGAAAGCCTGAATTGCAGAGGTTTTCATAAAACTACCAGGCCTAGTGGCACTGCAGCCTGTGGTAGAATACCTACTATCATCTTCTCTTACTGATGTGCAACAGGTCACCTCAGCACTATCTCCTTGGCCAGACAACTTTAATGAGGCTCCCTGGTACTTCAACTGCCTGGAAGGAGGTTGTGGCAAGGTGGGGGACAGACTCTTCTTCCAGGTAACAATGACAGAATGAAAGGGAACAGGCTTAAATAGTACAAGGAGAGGTTCTTAGGAAAAATTTCTTCTCAGAAAGAGTGGTGAGACACACATGGGCTGCCCAGGGCATGGTGGGGTTACTGTCCTTGGAGGTGTTCAGGAAACATGGAGATATGGCACTGAGGGACATGGTTAGTGGGCATGGTGGTGGTGGGTTGATGGTTGAACTAGAAAATCTTGGAGATCTTTTCCAACTTTAATGATTATATACATTTCAAAGTTGTTTTTTAACTTTGGTTCATCCCCACTTACAGTATGGACAGTGCTTGTTTTGTGAAGCTTTTCATGTTACAGATCACCCCATTGCACTTAAAGACTTTATGAAGGGGAAGAACATTTTAGGAGATACAGAAAGCAGAAGTTAACATCTGTAGAACTGGAGCTTGACCATTGGAACTAAATTAAATTAAATCTGCCTCGAACTGCTGTTAGAAACTTGTATGGTATTTCCCATTAAAATCGGTCTGCTCCTCTCAGTACCATTGCTTCTCAACTCCATTCACTGCTGTACTCTGAGATGACAACAGCATCTTTCAGAATGTGGGTAACTACACCATGCTTCCCAACAGGATGCAGGAGCCAGAGAGTGCTCATCTATGAAGTGCTCATCTATCTGGTGCCACAAGGCACCTGGTGACACTGAGGCCTTGTTGCTTTCAACATCCCACAGCAGCAATGTTTTCCAAGCACAAACACCTGCCTGCACAGGATGTGGGTGCTCAGAGCTGCCTGTAACAGGACAGGCAGATAGGCAGCTCTTCAAACCAACAGCAGGAACTTCCAAGGGCTTCTGTGAAAGCCAGAAACCTTCCCAGCTTTTGAGAAAGGGTAACTTATAAGCTGAAGAACTAAAAGCAAAAGAAATTAGGTGAAGGGCTATGCGTGTGAGAGAAAATCTCAAGACTAACTTTGTATATAGACAAACTAGTTATTGTACTACATACACTTGTCCTGCAAGTTGAAAATGAGGTGCCATGTGCTCCCCTCTGCATTCCTCTTATTTGTTTGCCTCATAGGCTGGCCACAGGATTGCACTTTGAATTCTGCTGTGCCATGACCTGCTGCTTATAGTGCATGGAAGAGGTGCCCAACCTTTTGGCTTGCTTGGGCCACACTGAGTGAACAGAAATTGTCTTGGGACACAAACACAAAGGTTGCTCCAAAAGTAATGCCTCTGTGTTTCCATGGAACTGCAACTGATTCAAAGAGCACAATAGCACTATTTGATAGAGCAAATTCTCAGCTACAAAATGCTTTTTCAACATAGTCACTACCATTAGCTATGCATTTTCACCAGTGAACAGGAGCCTGCATGCTGCACTCATAAAAATCTGCACAGTGGACGCCATTGCTGTCACTCCTGCTGAAACACACCATCCACCATCTCACTGTGCTCACATCCACTGTTTCATCTCCATAAATGTTCACAAGTGTTGATGAATGTCAGAGGCTGCTGTTTTTTCCGCATGGAGGAATTCAGTCCCACACCTTTGCTTCATCTGCCAGTGCTTCTATGTCAGATGCCATTTTGTCAGAGTGCTCCTCCGCTACCATCTGTCACACAGCAACATGTAATGGACTGTTGGTGGGAAGATTCAACCTGTACTGCCATACCACCAGCATCTGCCTCTGACACTGTGGGCCAAGAAAATAAAACAGCAGGCATTACTTTTGCAGCAGCCCTCATAGTCCACTATAGTTCATGTATATAGGTAACAAAACTTATTTTAATCTTTAACATTTTTTATTAAAACAAACAACAACAACAAAAAAGACTAATCTAAACACAGAACTAGTGGGATATGTGACCCTGTTGTTGTGAAACTACCACATCAGTCAAGTTTAATGGCAGTGGCTGCAGTTTTTAGTGAGCTCTCAAGGTGCTTGTCAGAGATTTTAGATGAAATTTTGCTCCTCCTGTACTTCATCCTTGAAAACTTGTTCACAAATGTGTGTGATGACATGAATAACATATGATTGTGAAGCAAGGATTCTTTTTCTCTGGTAAGAGGGCTTATAAACGTAAAGAGACATGGTCAGATTTTTAAGTAGAATATCTGATTGCAACTCTATATGCTACATTAGGAAATTCCATGTAATGTACTTATGTCAACTGAAGTTGCAAATATACCCCCAAAAAGATGATTTTTTGGCAGCCTTGAAACCTGTTCTCAAATTCCTTTATCAAAACTGAAAGCAAGGCTGCACAGCGTTTGCTGTTCACAGGGCTGCGCTTAGCCGATGAATGCGTAAAATTATTAGCTATAACTTGAGCTGGCACTGCACTGTGCCCTCCCTGTGCCCCAGTTCCAGCTCAGACAGCGTTAATAGTGCGCTGACTTTTGGCTGTTGCAGGACTGTGTGTGTGTCTTCCCGGGGCCGGGCCGCATTGCCTGCTGTATGGTAAAGCAGAGGCCGCGGTCTGACCCAGACACGTGTTGCACTTTAAGGAAATACTGTGCCATCCGGAGTTCAGAGCGAACCTTCCTCACACCTCTCTAATCTGCTCTCACGTGGCTAAAACTCTATGAGGAAGCCTAAAGTAAAAGAGAAACCCGAAAGCAACGCGTGCAAAGTTCATTTTCGCTTTCTCAGGACAGGCACGAGAGGCAGAATTACAGAGCAGTCTCACGACCGGCTGCGTCAAAGCCCCTCCGAGCCCCCAGGGGCCTCAGCGCTTCCCTACGACCCCCGCGGGGAGGCAGCGCCAGGTCAGCGAGGTGAGCACAGCCTTCAGCTAGCGAAGAGTTGGTCCGGACGGGACCAACCCGCGATGGAGAGAGCTAAACGCGGACGGGCCGTGGGCACCCCTCACCCTCCCACAGCCCGGGAAACAGCTTTCGCCAGCACCGCGAGGCGCCACGGCCGCCGCTTCCGCCCCACGGTTCCTCCTCCGGGCCGCCCTCTCCCGGCATGCGCCGGGCCGGAAGCTGCTGACGACAATAACAAACATCGGCGGCGGCTGCGCCTGGGCTCCCGGACCCGCTCTCTCCGGCCGGCCCCGCGCCGCCCGCCCCTCCCTGCCCTCGCCGTCCGCCCGAGCGCAGCGCCCGCCGAGGCGGCCCGCGCTCCCGCCGCGCCGCGGGGCCTGGCCGCGCCGGTAGGGGGGCTCCGCCGCCGCAGGATGCGCGGGGCCGCCGCCGGACCCTCGGGTGAGTGGCGCCGGGGGGAGGCGAGGGCCCCTCCGCGGCCCCGCTGCGCCTCCTGCCCGCCCGCCGCGGGCGCGGGGAGTCCGGCGGGGGGCTGCCGGCGGGGCTCCTTTACTGGGGATATCGCGAGGGGCGGCGGTTCAGGGCTTGGCCGCGGGGTGGGCGGCGGAGCGTTGGGGGCCGGGGGTGGAGCGCGGCCCGGCGCTGGTTGCGGCCCCGGGGCGGCGGGGGAACCCGCGGGGCGGCGGCGCCCGGCAGGCTGCGGGCGGGCCGGGGCGCTCCCTGCCCGCGGTCCGCTGCCAGGGGAGGGCTGCGCGGCGAAGTTACTCCGGGGAATGACTCAGCCCGTACTTTCGGCCGGGCGCAGCGTGCGGCAGCGCCGTGTTGGCCGGTGCGCTGCCGCCGTTTCCAGTGCTTACTTATCGCTGCTCCCGAGGAAGCGTGTGCCGAGCTTTCCCCCGTTGTTTTCTCGTTACTGCTTGTGAGCGCGCTGTCAGGCGGCTCTGCGGGGCTGAGCTGCTGCTCGTCCTCAGTGCCCCCGGAGTTGTGAGTGACTGCTGGCTGAGGGTAAAGGGGCGTGTGGGACAGCTGCAGGGACAGATCCTTGTGACGCCTCATCTTTATCTAGAGATTAAAACGATAAATTGTGCCTAAAACCAAAATACTGAGAAACAACCTCCAAGTGTTAGTTTGTTTTTTTTTTTTTTCCCTCCGTAAGCTGTAATGATCTCTTATTTATTTATTGAGGAAAGACTTTTTGTCTGAAGAAGGATGTTCTATCAATGAGCCATTTGATGAGTTCACATTGAAAGTTTCACCTTTGCCTCATTATGGGAGGGAAGGAGGAGGTCACGTGTTGTTTCTGCCCCTATGTAAATGTGTGAAGTAGTTGGCATGGCAGCCTTCAGGGAAGATGCTCTTGAAATTGGTTGGTTCACTGCGCAGGAGAAGATATCTCACCTCTGTTGGAAAGATAATGCAGGGGCAGCTCCCAGTTGAGGTTCATGTTGTTGGGCAGTATTTTTAGGATGCTAGGTACAAAAAGTACTTCAATAAAGGAAACATTGATATGTTTAAGTTGTAAACTTCTTAAAAAAAAAAAAAAAGAGCAAAAGCCTAAAACAGTCTAGCACCTTGGATGCTTTTAGAAGATAAAGCAAATGAACAAAGAACTGTGTTATCTATTTCCACATAAGCTATAGTGCCAAGGAAAGCATACAAGAAAGAAATGAGACATGTTACTCACTAAGTTTAGTTTAAATAAAACTCTGCAGAGGCCATCTAAAGCTCAGAATGGTTTTATTTTATTATACTGGGAGTAGTGAAGAAAAAAATAACTTACAAATGTGGGGTAAGGGCCTTCAGCTATGCCAGTTATAGATCCAAAAATACAAGCAGGAACTTCGGGATAATGCATTAGTAAGTGTAGTGTAATGCATTAGTGTAAGGTAGACTTAACTGCAATTTGGACGTGTATTACCATTGTGCAGTTTGTGTACTTTTTTGGTTTTCTGTTTTTTTTTTTTTTCTTTGTAAGCAAAACCAAGTTGTGCTGTAGTCTGTTGACCCAGCCTTCTGCTTGACACAGATTTGGGTTAGTAGTCTCTGGGATCCTACTCATGGGGCTGGCTCTGTCCCCATGTCATGTTACTACATTTATAATTAGAAGCATACGAGGCAGACTTGCATTTACTGGAGAAAAGGACATTGATTATTTTGTGGTCTTTTGTGGTGTCTGGTTAGACGTTGCTTGTCTCTGCGTGAGATCTGAATGCAGCTAAGATTATGTACAGTTCCAGGAGACTTAAGGTGAAAAATATAGTTTCTAAACCATGCGTAAACCTGCAGTTTCAATTATTGTGATTAAATAGGGTAGGTCTATATGGAAGGAGAGGAATAGCGTGTGTATTCTTCTGCTCCTTTTGATAAGACGGTGACAGAGTGGGATTGTTTAACAGAAATCTTCACTATCTTAAACTGTAGTGTTGGTGGTTGTCAGTGTGATCCTTAGACCCTTGTTTTTAATCTAGCAGGTAGTTTGAGTAGAAGGCTGACTTAGAACAGTGTGAAGATCTAGAGATTTTTTTGTTGCACGGAGTGGATTTGCTTGTATATTACAGTCAAGTGAAACAAGTCAAAATGAAAAACTGTTGTCTGAGGTGGGTGCTGTGAGCCATAGCATGCATACCCGGCTGTCATCTGAGCTACTCCAGAGCCATTTGGACACTGTCCCAGCTGTCATGCCTCTCCTACATGTGTATTGCACAAGAGGAGTTGTGCTCCTGATGCTGGGTTCACAGCTACGTGATATTACTTGAGGAATTTCTGAAGAGGAAAGTGAAATGGTAGAAAGGTGAAATTCTTCAAAAAATTGCCAACTTTGCTCTAGACCATAAACTATTGATATTCTCAGCAGTAGTGATCAGTGAAGTAGCAAACACTTGGCTATAAGAAGCATGCTTATAATAATATTGTGTACCACCTGATTGAATGCACTGATACCAAACAGGCAAAAAAAGTATCACTAATATGGAAATTACTAACCTAGCTGCTAGAGTTAGTGTGCATTTTGTAGCTGATTTGTCAGAGTAATGGTTTGGGTAAACATTTTGAAAGACTCTCATGTGGTCTCTTAGTCATAAAAATGATTGATGATTGAGAAGTCACTGACAGTAACTTATTTTATGAACTAGTAAAGGATTCTGTGGCTATTGTGAAAGTCACTTGTCTATGAATTAACTTCTATTTCAGATATACTTTTAATTTAGTTTTGAGTTCAGTTGAAAGGAAAGTTGGAAGACGTTGGGTGTTTCCCTCTGTGAGAAGAACTGGTCGTAGATTCAGCAATGCTTTATAAAGCCAGTGGTATTTTAATGCATCTAAGTTGTTAATAATAAATAATATCTAAATCTGAATTCTTGGCGGTTGTTGATAGAAATATCAAAACAGATTTATTGATTTAAAATTTTCACTCAGATTCAGATGGGGCTGATCGCTGTTGACTGACCAGGAGAACTACCGGCTGTCAGGAAAATTCTTGCTTATCTTCTGTCTGCCTACAGGTGTGTATTTTCCAGTAGGGTTCTGAGCTCAAACTGTGTACTCAGGCAGTGGTGATTGCTAGTGCAGCTTTTTATGTGCGTCCAAGATGTTGACATTTTCTTCTGGGAACTGATTTTGCAGCCAGGCCTGCTGCCTTTGTCACATCAAGGTGAAGCGATTACTGTGTTCTGTATATAATCTATAGTAGTTGCTGTATCTAGAAAATCAGGTGTTGAAGAAAGGGGTAGCCTGCTTTCTGTATGAAATGATTTGCTGCTCTGCGATTGGCATTTTTCTCCAATCTTCATTGGTTACCTGTTGATCGAAAAAATAAAATGCCAAACCACTTAGGGTTTGACTTGGGTTTCAGATGTTCCTGATTTGTTTTGCTGTGTTATACTGTGTTCTGACTACAGGGCTCTTTTTTTATTTCCTTGCTATGAAATAACTCATATTTTCTTACCTCCAAAGGGTTTTTTTTTCCCAACAGTATTTTTACATTTTTAGGATATTAAGAAAGTTTTATTAGCGTTTGGGAAATAGTATGTTCAGCATTAAAATTGCCTGATTTTTTTTTTTTTTATTTGAACAGAGTGTCTGTATGATAGTCACAGTATAGCAATCTTCATTATTACGCTTGGTGATGTGCTTGAAAGGCTAGCATTGTGCTTCAGTTTGAACAGGTTGAAGGCAATCACAGAATCATAGAGTCATAGATGTATATGCACTGTGTATTTTTGAGGTAGAACGTGGCACTGGAGAAGTAATTGAAAGGCAAGTTTTACTTCCATTGCAAATCCAAAAAAATCATACCTCTCAGCAAAACAGGCAGTTCTAAATGGCACTTTTGAGATCTGATGTCTGTGAACATTTGAGTTAGCTGCTCAAATTTGGATTGTGCACATGTTCTCTTTCGTATATGATGGAACTTATCTGCCATGTTTTTTGTATGAAAGAGTATGTTTGCACTACGTTCTGTCAAATAAGCTCTTATGTCTGTTATGGATGTTGCAGATATGGCTGCAGCAATTTCCATTCTTTTAACATCTTCTGATACTTCAGGGATTACAAATGTCAGTACTTTATCTCACATTCTGTTTTGGCTTCATTCATGCCTACTATTTATGCTGATATGTCAAAAGTGTAGGTATTTGAATCCTTATTTGGTGTAGTTGTGTCTGGACTAGGCAGTTTATACTGATAAAATGGTGCTTTTAGTGATAGTTTTAGTTCTATCCTCCAGAATGTATATTTCTATTAAATTCAGATGAAATGGAGGTTCTTATGTAAGAATATATTGTGTAACTGGACTAGCAGCTCTTTTCAAATATATTTTGCTTATGTTAGATTGCAGGCATTCTGCTTGTAAACTCCAGATGACTTATTTGTCTATTCTAATTTAAAATACTTTGTATGGATACTTGTATTGCCTACTGATTGGGTTTGCACTAAGTTCCTTTCAGTAACATTTCTTTAAACAAAAAATAAGAATATCATTTAAAAATTCTCACATCCCAGTCAGAGCAAAAGAGGGGGTGGAGTGTGTAAATTTGCCTTTACTTATGTCATGTGAAAGACTCGAAGGCAAAATACCAATAAGCTGAACAAAGCATGTGTAATACAACAAAGCAATTTCACATGAATGTTCTGACTGCAAAGACCACAATTGGGGTTAAATAAGGTAGAGGTGTAATTGTAGTGTATAAACCTTGTGGGTGGGGGGGTTGGTTTTTCTTTTTTAATCTCTGAGATTGTCTATTTCTTAAGTTGGTAATGTTCCACAGAGGGATTTATTAATGTGCTTTGTTAGCTGCTTTAAACTGTCAAAGATTTATGCAGGAAAAGCAAAGAAGGCCTGTTGAAACCTACTAAACACTTTCTAGAGGTATTATGTTTTTCATGCCCATCTTTCAGTTTTTGTCATTTCTCAATACATTGCTATTATCTTTTAGATTTGTCAGTAGAGGCCTGAAGGTTATTTTTAATTTTGTAAAATGCAAATAGCTGATGTGCCAAAATTCTAGTTGTGATTTTTTTTTTTTTGAATGTGTTTGTAGGGAAGATGGGATTTATGTCAGTTCTGCACGTAACTGGTTCTTTGCTTGTCTGTTTCATGTAGTTGTACTTTTATAAAGAATTTGATAAATAGGAGGAGGTTTATAGGTGAAACACTAACTATGAGGAAAAAGGTTTGAAACAAGTTTGGAAACTGCTGATTATTTGAACACTTTACCAAGACTGTGGTTGATTCCTTTACTGCTGAAAACTTTAATGTTATTCTAAACATTTACCATCTATAAGAATTTAATTCATGCCTGATGTTGGCATGTGTAGTTAGGAATTTGAGTGATGCCTTTTGAAAATTTTCACTTCTCTTCTTGAGTGATAATGCTGACTTGGTTGGTTACCTCCTGTATCCATCAGCTTTTTTCCTGCCCTTAGCTCTGGAATAATAGTTTGAAGGGCTGTGTGGCAGACAGCAGTCCTAGAAAGAGTTCTAAGTAGTTCCAGCAAAGTAATTCAGTTTACAGCATATAACTGGAAAGTTGTGCAGCTGGAAACTGGTGCAGGGAGAGGATCAGGACAACTGACTGAGGAAGGGAATTCATAAGGCTGGTGCTCAGGCTGTCATCAGTGTTTTCAATCGTGGTCTTGGTTAGCCAGAGAGAGAGTTAGTGAAGGAGAAGCATCAATGCTGACTTGTCTGATCTTGATCTAAGAAGGAAAGGAATGCTTGCTGACTGTTTCTTGCAGAATTGTTTGCAAACACGGTAAGATTTTACATGCTAATTATTTTTCAAAAGTTCATTTCTATAGGGGAAACCTTCCTGCTCGTGTGAAGTTAGTAACTTGAATAAAACCACCTGAAGCTCTGCGTACTGAAGAGCACCATTTTTCTTGAAGTGCTAATGACCATAATGTGAGAGAGATAGGTAGTCTGCATTTGCTTTTGAAATGGCAAAATTATACATTTAAAAAAAGAAAAAAACTGACTCAACCTTCAGTTAATTTTTGTCCAATACACAGTTTTAAACAGCTATAGAAAGACTTTCCACCAGTTAACAAACTACTACAAAAAAAAGTGCATCTACAAACTGTAAGCTAGTTCCTAGCAATAAAGATGTCAGAAAACCTTGGCTTGTTTTCTGACTTGTACTTGTTAACCAAGATGCAGAAACTTCACTTTCTGACAGATAAGAGATGTGAGGTTTGGGGTTTTGCAAAAACTAGTAAACTCCTCCCCCCTCCCCCCTCTTTTTAAAAAAAAAAAACTGTTGGAGGGGAAAAAATTGTCTGATTCATATGTGGATTGTATTTTGGCAGTACCTCAAATACTGTGAACAGAATAATATAAATAGATGCTAACTCTCAGAACTGAAGTTTTATAATTATAAATGTATGGAGTCATGACATAATGTCTAATAATATGCTTGTTACCTCATAAACTTGTTTGGAACTATTTATTTCCTAGAATTCATAAGTTCTATCTGAACTTGCAAGAAGCTACACTGTTTTGGACTACATCAGTTTTAAAGCTGTTCCTTAATACAGCGTTTTCATACCTGCCCAAATGTTGCTTTTAATCTTTTGCTCTTCCACCATTGATGCTGAGGATCTGTGAAGGTATCACTCCACCTATACTGCTGAATAGGGAGAACGTAGCTTCCACGTAATTCAGAGTTGCTCCCGCATTCATGTGGTGTAAATTACATTTCCTGAGAAGTTAAGGATGAAGTTGATGTTTTGCAAAATGCCTAATACAAAACAAAAAAACAAAAACCCCAACAACAAAAAAAACCCCAACTCTCGAAAACCAAAAAGAAAAAGAAGGAAACCTGTGTCATAATTTTGAGTTTTGAAATTCCTCTTTAGTGAATTGGGAAGTAGGGACTTTGGCACATTTCCTGATTGCTGTGCAGAATTGCAGTGTCTTTCCTGTTTTAAGAGCATAAGAGACTTGCTTGACTGACCAGTTGGTGAGTTTGAGAACAGCTAACAATGCAGTGACTGCTGGAGATGCTTTATTTAACTGCTTCTGTGCCTGTGTACATCTCAGTGCTGTATAAATAAAGCTACAGGTGACACCTTGCAGATACTGGGGTTTGGCAGCCTTACATGAAGATGGCACTGAGCAAGGTTTTAATGCTTGTAAGGTGGTGATGGGAGATAGGATTGTCTCTTACAGTAAAGTGCATTTTGTCCATTAGATATGGCTTGCTTAAAAGTTTTTGGAGGGATGAACAATGAATTTTTTTTCTGAATCCTGTTCAGAACAGGCTCTGCTGGTGTTCACCACGTAGCTCAATGAACCTTATCCTGGGCTATATCAAAATAATGTAACAAGCAGGTTGAGGGAGGTGGTTGTCCTCTTCTACTCAGCTCTTATAAGGCTCCACCCTGCAGTACTGTGCTCAACTCTGGGTACCCTAGCACAGGAGGGTCATGAAACTGTTGTCACCTCTGGACTTGAACTAACAAGAATGATCAGATGTCTATAGCACATCCTTAAAGAGAAGCTGAGGTAGATGAGCTTCTTCAGCCTGGAGAAGGACTAGGCTCCAGGGAGACCTCAGTGTGGCCTTTCAGGACCCAAAAGGGGCCTAGAAGAAACCTGAAGGAGGGAATCTGTGTGAGGGAATGTAGTGATGGGACAAGGGATAATGGCTTTAAATGGAAATAGAGTAGATTTAGTTTAGATCTTAGAAGTAAAATCTTCTCTATGAGGGTGGTGAGGCATTGGCACAGGCTGTCAGGAAGCTGTGGATGCCCTATACCTAAAAGTGTTCAGGGCCAGATTGGATGAGGCTGTGGGCCCTGATTTAGTGGGTAGAAACCTTGCTTATAATAGGGGCATTGAAACTGAGTGGTTTTTAAGGTCCTTTCCAACCCAAACCATTCTATGATATGTTAATCTAAGTATGTTTTAAGGAGTGTTTTCTTTGACCAGTCAGTTGTCCAGATAAGGGTATGCATTTTCATTGTGTAGTGGGTTTTTTTTTTTAATTAATTAATTAATTTATTGAAACTAAGCTGTTTGCGCTACTAAAAGCAGCGGTAGAGAATGTGTGCTGTCACTGTGAGGATGTCTTGTCTGTTCTAGGTGATCATAGTGGCCCTTTGCAAAATGAAGATGCTTCTGATTAGAAGCATTAGTAGCAGTATTGAATAAAGCTCCTTGGAGTCTGCTTTTAAATATCACTTTACATGCAGTTGTTTATTTCCTCAAGTTCAGTCTTAGTCTCTATTCCTTTTCCTTTGCTATTAGGAAGAGTGCTGTAAAATCCTTTACTTGAGAAGTGAGGTGTGGAAGTTAGACAAAGAGATCATTTTTAGAAGGGCACCTGAAAAAGCAAAGGAAGTAGAGACAGAATACAGATTTGCTGAAGAAAGTAGATTCAACTGGAAGGAACATCATGTGCTAGTCAAGTTCGTTGGTCTGTTACAGAGTTGCCTAAGTTGAAGTGAAATAGGAAGTCCTGCTTAGAGGAAAGGAAAAAAGAAATCACAGGAATTGCAGTGGTTCAAAGGCAAAAATAAAGTTTTGCTGCATGGAAATAAAAGGCAGCTTGATAAAATAATAATGTGTCCCAAGGTTGTTTTTTTTTCATCTGTAAAAGTAGTAAAGGCCTGCTCTCCTTGAGGGGAGGTGTATTCCAAATGAGATAACTCAGTGAGTGAGAAATAGCACACAAGGTTTTTTGTTGTTGTCTTTATAGCATGTGATGGACTTGCCAGACTTTGCCTTGGATGAATTACCCTTTTGGCAGGTAGGATTTCTATCTACATTCATCTACTGTGAGAAATTGGACTCATGTAATCGCAGGTAATATTTCTGATTCATATTGGAAGCAATATCTATTATTACTGGCAATGTAGCCTTAGCAGGTCCTCAGTAAGAGAACTTTCCCTTATTAGCATTGTGCAGGTGATGTTCCTAAACAGCTATGTGAATGCCTGCTAATTAATGATGTGGAATTGTGAGCTTCTGAATGAATAGTGGGGTACTGCCTTGCTTGACTACTTAAGCTAGTTCTGTCTGTATTTAGAACTGTATTTCTTTCAACCTGGAGATATGTGGGGGTGGTGTGGGAAGGAAAGAGTTCGGACTTCTTGGTCTTCTCTGATCTCAGAGATGAAGCACTGATGAGTACAGCACTTTGCAGATATGAAGTAATGCTTCCCCAGGCACTAAAAACAAGGTACCCTTTACTGCTGATGTGTTTCTGTAAAAGGAATGCAAAACCCTTGGGATTAAAGAGAAGCAATGACTTTGTCATAGTTTAGTTTAAATTCTAGTTAAATTAAAATGTTTTGATAACTCAGGTTGTTAAAATTTGGTTCATAACGCCCCTTTAAGCACAAGCAGTGTAGATAAACATTGATTTTTGTCTTTGTCCTGCCCTGAATGTAGATTTTATTGTTTTGAGTTTGTAAAGTTGGAAAGAATTGTACTGTGAAGCAGTGGAACAGTCAGAATTGGGTATTAGAGTAGGGATTCTGCACTTAATGGCATAAATGGATGGCTAATGTAGCTATAGGATTGTTTATGGAGTGCTGTGAAACTCATGACGTCTGTGGTGTTTTTGCAAAAAGGAAAGGTCTGTAAACAGACGTTCATTTCCTTTTACAGATGTAGGAACAATGAATGTTTTCTGAACTAAATAAGCTGCATTTCAAAATTTCTGAACAACGTGCATTGAAAGTATTGATCAACACAGACTTAAAAAGTTGCCAGTTGTTTCAGAGTTTATATTGTGTAGGACAGTCTTGTAAGGTGAAGCAGATGTAGTTCTATTGCAATGTAAACACAATGTAGAGCAATGAAATAAATGTTACGTTGTCAGCATAACATATTCGTGGCTGTTTTTGGTATTAGATAATACAACAAAATACACATTTGAATTAGTTCTTGAAGGTTTTACTACCACCTTTGCTTTTGTCACCTCATTCTTTTTCTTATATTCATTTCTACCATCTTTTGTCTGTTCTGGGAGTTGCTACAGCAATTTCTGTTTCTAAATTTTCAACATTTAGTGATGTTGCTGATAATTACTGGCTGTTAATCATATAGCTCTCTATAATTTGAAAGATAACGTATGCTATAGACATAATGTTGCAGGACAGTTTCCAATTATGCAGTTAGCCTCTTTGTCTTTGGTAGTTAAGTTCTTTACTATGAGAGTGGTGAGGTGTTGGAACAGGTGTTGGAACAATCTCTCTGCCCAGAGAGATTGTGAATGCCCCATCCCTAGAGATGTTCAAGGCCAGATTGGATGGGGCCCTGGGCAGCCTGGTCTAGTATTAAATGTGGAGGTTGGTGGCCCTGCATGTGGCATGGGAGTTGGAGTTTCATGATCCTTGAGGTCCCTTCCAACCCAGGCCGTTCTGTGATTCTGTGGTTGTCAAATGTTGTAATTTTTCGACTTCTATTAAAAAAGATGTAAATAATTTCAGCAGTGAAGCACTAAAAAGCTTGAAACTTGTTATACTGTGTCACAGTATTACAGAAAAGATTGTGGAATTCTCTTAACTGCCTATTGAAATAATGCAAAGAGTAATAAAATGTGTTTGTGGATATATATTCTGTTGAAACTTGAGGTTGTTGACTTTCACCCTAGGCTTAAGTGAAAAACTTTTGCTACTGCTGAATTATATTCTTGAATTCTGGGAGTAAACTCAAAAAGCAGTGGGATGTATAGCTGACGGCTTGAATTGGTCTACTTTAACCCGACTTCTCAAAGAAAAGAGACTTAGACAACTGTGAATGAATTGAATGCATCTCCTCCATTAAGTAATCTTGGGTTTTGTTGGACGTGGTCAGCCAGGCATTGTCCAGAAGAAAGAAGGGTAGCAGGAGCTCTCAACATTAGTTTTCTTAAAGAGCTCTGAAAGCAGGCAGCTGAGCTTAGTAGTGTCCTCAGCAGGATGGTTCCTGCTGGAGGGAGGACTACAGCCTGCCTTCAGTAGGCAACAGGGAATGTGCAGGGGAACTCAGCTTTCAAAGCATATGTTCTTTAAAACTTTGCTTTACCTCTGATTCTGGAAAGTACTTAGTGAAATTTGTAACAGCCTTCTGAGTGGGTAAGCTCTATTTTATTTATTTTTTCTTTTCTAAATAGTAACCTAACAGTGACAGCGTGGGGAAGATTTAGGTTAGGTGATAGGTGGAAATTCTTTACTTGAAGGGCAGTAAGGTGCTGGCACAGCTGCCTGGAGAAGCTGTGGGTGCCTTATCTCTGGGGGTACTCAAGGCCAAGTTGGATGGGGCCCAGGGCAGCCCTATCCATAGCAGCGGATTTTAACTGGATGATCTTTAAGGTCCCTTCCAAACCTATGCCGTTCTGTTCTTTGAGTGCACAGATTTGTCCTGCCAGTCAGTGTAGCCCAGTTCCCCAGTACTGATTGCTAACTTGTTTGTTGAGTGATAGAAGCAATGCTTGATTTCTAACTTTTCAGTTGTCTCAAAGGAATTAGAACGATAGCAATTATAGTACTGGGGGCCACCTTTGTGGTAGTAGTTTCTTACAATTTGTGGTAATGTCCATTACTTCAATCTAAAGCAAATATTGCTAGATATACTTTGTCCAGATACAATTACTGCCAATGGCCAAAACAGGGACACTTCAATTAGTAGTTTTCCAATAGTGATTCTTAAACATGCTGTTTTTCCTTTTTATTGCGCCTTTGCTTCTGAGTAGGTGATGTACATGTCTTTTGAATAGATGGAAAGAAGGATGCTCAGGAGGGAGGAAGATAACTTGAAAGCTCAGATAACTAGCTGCTGACAAAGTGCCATCTGTTCCATGCGTGTAAAATACAGTTGTGTATTTTTCTCCTTGTTCATAATGTTTGCAAATTTGGGACGAAGAGAGTTTATTTTTGATTTACCCTTAGTCATGGGTTGTGTAAAATGAGTTACATGTTCTAATGTTTTTTTGGGCTTCAGCAATCCTATTTTTAGTGATGGATTATCACCCTTTATAGCGCCCGATCATCTTCTCAGAAAGCTTTCTAGAGCATTAGTGGGGTAGAAATAGTATTTGTTGCAATTCAGAATTTGAACGTGCGGTTTGCTGACTGCTGTTGTGGCAGTTGCACTCAGTGGGTTACTGAGCCCAATTGCCTGCCGCTGCTTTCCCTGCCAAGGGCTCCTTCTCCTTCAGTGCTGTTATCTGACTGATAACAGTTAAAATGAGCTAACTTAGCTTTAAAAGACTGCCGATCTCGCTCACTTTGGTTGTAGTTGTAACAGCAGTTCTGGGAGAGAAAGCCTCTGGTGAGGATGCCACTGACAAGCAACCGCATCTGGTAACATCTTCAGTTTATAAGAATAACAACAAAAAGAAAAATAAATAATGAATGTTTTGCAAATAGGTGACTGGCTTAACAAGGTTACCTAAAGAAAAGGAGTGTTTATTCCTGAAGGTGCCTGTCTGTAAGGTAGAACTGTTGATTACACAGCATAGCATGCATGCCATTTTACTCTGATTTCCCTTAGATCAATTGTGTTTGTGGCTTTCTGTTTTACTGTTAGCTTCATGTAAGAATTCTGCGCTGGTTCTGAAAAAGTAATTTCAGCTAATGGAAAGTCAGGCAGCTCTTTTCAGTGAACTAACTCTCTTGTATGCACTGAAAAATGTAATAGCTATTTTAAATGCAATTTATGTGGGAAAAGACTCGTGTGTAGCAGTTTTGAGTGGACTTGTGACTAGAAGGCATTGTTAATAAATTAAAAAAATACCATTTTTTTTTTAAGCATTGTCATACATATATTTCAGTGTTAGTTGCAGCAGTAGCCATAAAATCCTGATATTTTAATGATACCTGTAGTTACATTCTGTATATTTTCTTTATAGATCTTCTCTGGTTTTGAACAGCCATGCTACTCGGTTGCCAAAATCAAGTACAGCAAATGCACATTTATTCTCTTGTATTTGAAGAAGGTGATAGCTTCGTGTAGCGCCTGAAGGTAACTTTTGCTTTACTTAAAGTTGGAAAGTCTGGGACTGCTGATGCACACATGACAGATGCTGCCATAAAATATTTGATCTTCTTTCAGTGCTTTAAATGGTTAGCTGTGGTGTTAAAAATGGGATGGATTGATGAAAATTTCTTTCTGTACATGAACGGAATGAGGTTTCTGGACAGATTATCTATTAAATACCACTGGATTTTGCAAAGTATTTCTTATATGTAAACTGAATATAATGCAGTTATTTGACTAAGTGGGAAAGAGGTGTTCCCTGCTGCTTGTTTTAACATTCTATTTAACGTGTCTGTTTCTAATTTTACATGGAACATAGTCACAAATAATGCCTGGGTGAAAATAAGTTTCTCTGTACTTTTAAGTCTCATTTATTATATAGCTTAGGGCAGAAAATTAATAATGAATTACTGCTGGTTTGTTCTTGAGGTTTGGGAGTTTTTGTCTCTATGGAGTATATTCTCTATGGAGGTAATTGTTTTTATTTGACATGGTTCTCCTTCCAATATGATGTTCTTTCTTGATAATATGCATGTCTCTGCTGGGTTATGTGCTACAATTAATGCTTGAAAAATGTGAGTATTCATGGAGGAAAACTAAGGACTTTCTGGAATTGTTCATCTGATAGAACTACCTTCCTAGCCCTGCACATTTCAATAGTGGTTTTGTTATTTTCCTTTATGGTTTATGAGGCTTTTTATTCTGTAGACAAAGATGAATGTGAATTCAAGCTTATCTTAGAATAATACAATTAGCTGTGTAGATCTTGTACATGTTCTTTTCTTATTTCAGGGAAAGGGGCATCTTGTACTTCCTGTGAAGTAATTTAATGCAAAAAGTCATTTCTATAATGGTAGAGAAATATAGCTGAGGCTAAAACTTCTACCTTAGCATTTCATAACTCTTTTACATTTAAAAAAAAAAAAGGCAGTGCATTAGTGATTGCAGTGATACTGTACTTTTGCAGCCACTCCATTAGCGCATAAGAAATTATTCACAAATTTAAGAGTTTCTGTAGAGTAGAAGAGAAGAAGGTGCAGAAGTATGAAGCCTTTCAAAGACAAAATAACATACCTAACAAAGCAATTAAATGTTTTCTTCTGATGTGTACACTGGAAAAAGTGCTTATAGTCATTCATGTAGAAATTTGTGGGGCACAGGAATAAAAATATTCTGAGATGCACTGTCTTTTTTGATCACTGCATAGTGGCTAGTAGTAACTAAAGCTATAGAGTTAACTAGTGCTGAAAACAGAAAAATCAGTAGATTTATTGATTGCATCTGTCTGTAGTTAACTAATCATTTTTAAAAACTACTTTTCTGGGGGTTTGATGTTTCCTTTTACATGAGTGGAAAAACAACACCTGGGATAATAACCAGTAGCAAGGCTTTGTTGCTGTACATTGGGGAATGAGTACTTAGAGCATAGCCATTTTGCTATTTATAAAGAGTAGAAAAGGTAACTAGAAATAACTTTATCAGGGGATTTAAAAATGTATTTTATAACTAGAAAAAGCCAGATAATGATCTGGGATGTTGCCCCTCTTCAGCTGAAAGTTGTCCTCCTCTCCCCTCTTTGTCCATCCCCACTGTAACTTTCCATGTGTTCCTCTAGCTCATTCACAAATCAGAAGGCTTCCTGTGCCCATGGTTCTTGTAGGAGAAGCATCTGTGTGTTTAGTAACAAAGAACTGGAATATGAAAGGCACCGTATTCACCCTCTATATAGCTAAAAGCTGTATAGTACATACTTCTTATAACTCCTATGTGAAACTGATGCTTTTTTTTTTTTTTACAGTTCCTAAATGATTTTAGCAGTGGAAGTGATAAACTTCAGAAACCTAAAGAAATCATCATGAAGCTATATGTATTTCTGGTCAACACTGGAACTACCCTTACCTTCGACACAGAGCTTGCTGTACAAAAGTAAGAAAGTAGAGCGATTACTTTTTTTCGGAAAATCTGTCAGAATTACATCTGGTCTTCTGTGATCTTTTGCTGAGTAGCATTTTTGTTTTACTAATTGACAGCATAAAATTACACATTGTTTTTCTACTCACAGTATTTTTCATGTTCTGAATAAAATGTGTGTTCTGTATAGACTGTGTAGACTGAATGCTGAAAAACAAGCATGTAGGTTTCTGTCTTATGCTCAAGGTGGTAAAACTTGGTTCTGTCATATAAGACTCTAATGTGTTTTACATTCTGTATGTAAAACATGATCTTCCTAACTGCCAACTGCTTGAAACAGGAGCAGTAGTTTAGATTCCCAGTGAAGTCCCAACAACTTGACAATTACTGTTTTTTTCCACTGCACAGTGAAAGCATCTTGCAATCTTAATAATGTTTTATAAAGACCTAAATGTACTAGGTTTACTGAAAAATGTTCCCCTGTTTCAGAATACTGGTCTAGTACAGTAAATCTTGTATAACATCATAACTCTTATGCTTGGTGCCAACCTTCCATGCTGTTTTCCTATTCTGTCAGTGGTGAATGACTAGCAGGTAACGGATGTGTATGCTGAGATGCTGGCTAGACAATGCTGCTTAAAAGGTTTCCATGGAAGTGCTAAGGTTCACTGTTTCCTTACTCCTGAATTTCTGTTTGTGATTTTCATGACTCAGCAATTGAATTGGGATTTTAAAACTTTGGAGTAGAAGGGCCTTAACAGTATACGTAGAGTGATTTATGTTTGTTTGTTTGTTCTGATAGCCTGCTGAGGATATTACTGAGAATGAGATAAAATATTTCACCTTAGCCATTTTGGATCTACTGGGTCATGAAACTTGTGAAGGGACTAGAATATAAGACGTGATGAGTGTCTGAGGGAACTGGGGTTGCTTAGCCTGCAGGAAAAGAAACTGAGGGGAGACATCATTACTCTCTACAACTACTTTTAAGGAGACTGCAGTGGGGAAGGTATCAGTCCATTTTCTCATGTTGCAAGCAATAGGATATAAGGAAATCACCTCAAGTTGCACCAGGGGAAGTTTAAATTGGAAACCAGGAGAGGGTAGATAGGCTTTGGAATGGGCTGTCCAGAGTGGTGATGGTAGATTTGCCATCCTTGGAGATATTGAAGAGATGTGTGATTTTTCCAATTGATTTTATGATTTACAGATATGTCAGTACTTCTGTGTGTTCTCTGGTATGTTGAGACGTTCTGTCCTAAATTACAGTAAGGTACAGCATCTGAACTGCCAGACAGGGTATCTAATGGCATGACATGAGCTGACTTTTCACTCAATCTAATAGTTTTTTGAAGAAAAATGGATGGACGAGAAAAAAACAAGTCTGTTCAGTTGATCAGTTTAACTTCTTGTTCTCTTTGCCTATAGAGAATTGCTTTTTTTTAGCAAGGCTACCTTTTTCTTGGATTCTTTGACTATCTCTGTATGTGGATATGTTAAGCAATTTTCCTAAGGAACATGGAAATGATATGTGGGTGTTTGTTTTAGCTCGTGTGGTGTTTGTAGTGAATTAACTTTGTCATATTAAATCATAATCATATTAAATCATAATAATTTTGGATAACTCATCTTAATTTTTCAAATACAACATAGCCAGTAACATTTTTATGCTACCTGATAGCATTATGTCAAAATCCCTGATGCTTATGTTGGTGGTTTACTCGATACTCTTAAGCTTTTCAGTACCTTTACACAGTGTTACAGTTTTGGTCAGCTACTGTATCATATTAGTAATTTCTTTGTTATTTTTCTGTTTACCTGTATAAACACAATCTAGAATTGCCTAAAGCAGCAGTGTCATAAAGGTGTCATTACCTGAAATTAAAGCTGCTACGGGAGTGAAAGAAAGCAGGGATGACGGTTTATTGATCTACTATTTGCACAGTAAAAGAATCTTTAATGTTTATATGTGTTTGTTGTATATATACTGACTATTGAACTCCTTGTCGTTTGAGCATTATACTGTGCTTCATGCACAGTAAATCAGAGTTGATGAGATGAAATTTTGCCTACGCAATGCATAACAAAGTATTAAGTACTCTTGTAATTTCTTTAGAGTTTGAGTAAGGCAGCTGTGCATTTGTAAGGTAGACATTAAGAGAACATAATATGATTTTAAAGGTGTTATTCTAAATGTTTGATTTAATTCAGAATTTCAGCATGCAGTCAGGTCTTATTGGAAGAAGGTTGCTGATGATATACCAGTACTGTACAGGCTCTATTGCTTTAGCTGATAGCTTATTAGATGGATATCTAGAATGCAGCGCATTACAGCCCTTATAAAACGTAAAGATATTTCATTGTGCAGAATAAAAATGTAAGGGTTTTTTGGAAAGTCCTCCCTTGAAACAGAAGTTGCCTTCTTTATATTACAGGAATCTGTGAAATTAAGAGACACGTGTTGATGTTATCTTCTTGCCCCTGTTTTTTCTAGCGTGGCTGATCTGAAACATGCAATACAAGCAAAGTATAAGATTGCCATTCAGCACCAGGTATTGGTTGTCAATGGAGGAGAATGTATGGCTCCAGACAGAAGAGTGTGTAGTTACAGTGCTGGAACAGTAAGTGCACACTGCATTCATAATCTAAACAGTCCTTTAAAGAAGAAGGAAAAAAGTATTCTACTAAAGGATTTTCAAGCATTTTTTCTTCAGTTTACTGCATTCCTTTACTTTGAGAAACTTTTTTTTTAATGTGTACAGCTTATAAATGTAGAATGTTCTGAAAACATGTTACTCGTATGATGGAATAATTGGTGATTGAACAGTGTATTGCCTTTACTTAATACTTGGTTTCACTTTCTTTCTGAGTGTAGGACACCAACCCAATTTTCTTATTCAACAAAGAAATGATTTTGTGCGAGCGTCCACCAGCCATCCCCAAAACCACGTTTTCAGCAGAGAATGAGATGGAATTGAAAGTGGAAGAATCTCTCATGATGCCTGCAGTTTTTCATACAGTGGCATCACGAACACAGCTTGCTGTGGTAAGTAAACTCTTAGTGTACTTGAACAACAAAGAACAATAACCTTTTTGTATATCAGATTGGTAGCTTGATACAAACTCTGAAATAGTTTGTTCAGACAGCAGTGAAAATAGCATGGTGTATTCTTCAAAGCCTTTGTCTTTAAGATTCAAGGTAGGTACTAAAACATGCTAGCTTCTTCAGCATCTTCAAAGCTTCTTTCAAAAGCAAATGTAATACAGCTTAATGGATGCGTGTGTTTTCAGTGCTTGCAAAATAAAAGCAATCTGGTTTTTCTTGGGCTCCTGCCCTAACGCTTTGCCTTATTTTCAGTGTCTTTAGTCTGCTTCAATCTGAAAGAAGAGAAGTTAGTTTGGAAATGCTGTTAATCCAGGTAGAAAATTTGTGGTGTAAGTTTTCAAACTGCCTTTCTAACCTTCTGTTTCATTTTGTGCATCTAAAAACTGGTGAGGAATTCATAAAACTAAACTTCCTTTTTCCAAAATGCGTTCAGATCTTTTCTTACTGAGTAGTCACTTCTAGTTGCATAGAAAGTAAACCCAGAATTCCGGGTTTATTATTGCCATATTACTCTGATAAGGAGAGACTGATGCCCTGCTACAAGGGCAGTAAGGTACTGTGTATGCACTACGAACAGCTGCATGTTCAAGAATGTGGCACATCATATTCAGTAGCTGAATTGATTGATTTTTGCTGATAGTATCCTTACTTTTCAAATTTGGCATTCCAAATTTACTGTTTCTGCTAAGTCTAAGGATATTTTAAACTTCCAGCTGCTGGGACTGGGGGAATGATCATGTTGGTGCAAACTGAATAGTTGTATATGGTTTTAGCATATTGGTTTGGTAATAGTTTCAGTAGCAACTTCAATGTAGTCCAAAAGAATATCAAACTTGAAGTGACTGTTCTTTTTTTTCTGATTTCATACAGCTGAATTCAGAGGAAAGTGTCAAGTCATGCACATAGTACAAAAGTTTTGTGTTTTTTTCTTTTTTTTTTTTTTTTTGCCTTGGCCTGTCAGGAATGGAGGAAGGGGAAAGTCAACCTAAATAATCTAACACTGACTTTTTGTCTGATTTAAGGCAAGGATTGAGTCCCATAAACACTCTCTTCTCTGTTACCTGTTGACAATTCTTGCTGACTTAGTAAATAGGACCTTGAGTAATTAGGATTCTATGAATCATATGACTCTCATACTGAGAAGAGTAGTAATGTGAATTCATCTAGGAGTAGGAGGATTTACATCTGCACTACTTACTTGAGGAGTGTGAGAATTGTGTTTTTTTTCCAGCAGCTGAGACTGAAAATGTTCTAAAACTGTTTTTTTTTGTGAGGTGTTAATTACTTTTATAAAGTCGTCTTAAGACAAGTATCTGTTAAATGTTTAACATTGATGGATTTGATAGAAGAAAGTGTTACATTCTTCACAAATGTGCTTTACTTGGTGTAATGGAAGTGAAAGGTGATGTTACCATCTCTCATTTCTCACTGTTGATATTTTCTCTACTTCTTTTACTCCATCTCTGATGGGGAAAAATTAAAGTGGCAGTTACGTGATCTGGAAAATTTTTAACTTCAATTTTGGCCCACTGAAGTTAGTGTACACTGGTAAATTGATTTAATTATTTTGGATTAAACTTTTTGTATTCCAGGAATTGATTTTTAGTTTTGGTTTTTTTTTTTTCATAAGGGCACTTCTACTTAAAGTTGAAAAGAATTATTAATGCTTCTTTCTCTTCTGCTTCAATTATGAAGGTTATATTAATATGCAGAACAAGCAAGTTCACTGCGGTATTTCTGTGTTCAAGTAGTTCTTCATATCTTAACTTGTTCTAGTGGCATGCCTTCTGTAAGGGAAGCACGTATTTCAGAAATAATCTCCAAGCCTATGTGTGAAGTATAGATTTTATTGGCTAACTGAAGCTATAGCATTTAGCTTAAGACAATAAAATTTATCTGGTGATTGATCGTGAGCTGATTTCCACAAAGTAAAGAAATCTTTCCATGCTTGGTGGCATCTATTAATTTTTTTTTGATGAGGGGGATAATGATAATATTTGGAAGGTTCTTAGTTCTATTGTAGTAGAATTGAGTTATTCTAGCATGCACATTAATTTTCTGAAAAATTGTCTTCTGTCCTATTCTTTTGAAGAAAAAAAAAAAAGAAGACTGAATAGATAGTTTTATTCTTAAATCTGTTGTGCCTTTATACTGTCAGTTAATTTTATCTAGTATTTGAAATATTTCAAAATCATAGGCTCTGTATTTGGCTGTGAAAGTGCACTGGGTACTTTTCTAGGAGTTCAGGGGAATAAGCAAGCCATCCTGCCTGATAGAAGATGAGAAAATAGGCTCTTCTAACTTAAGATGTACTGGAGTGTGAAAATGCCATAAAGGAGTATTGCAGTGTTATACTCCACTGATCTGTCTTGTTGCCTGCTTGAAACATATTGAGCAGTAATTCAGAAGAAACTGAGAGAAGGCTATGAATGTGATGAGGAAATTGATCTTCTTTAAAGTTCTTTGTAAGTGTGTGATTTGGGAGAAAGAGGAAACATGGGAATTCTTCTCACAATTGATTAAGATAAAGGGAGGGAAGGGAGGCTCTGAACCATCATAGTTGTGAGAATGATGTGTACAGTATACTTAGAGTGGTTTTGGATGCTAGACTTAAAATAAAATGAAAAATCTGTGGTATAAAGATTCAAGGTTTGCCTTATTGTAGAGAGAGGGATTTTCTATGTTACCAGAAAAGCAGAATTGCAGTAGTAAATAGTGTTTTTGCCTGTTGTAATTATTCAGGGAATCTAACTAATGATAATTTACTTATAGTAGTTATTAATTACACTGATATTTTGCATAAGGAAAATAGACGTTCCAATCTAAATTATTCCTTGTAATACAAAATCTTATTTTGTCAAGAATGAGACATTGATTTAAAAGTAGTGGAGAATATTTTATAGCTGCCAATTTAATTTTTATTTGGAATATGTTCTGTTCATAAGACAAGCAGTAACATTTTAAAATCAGACTTGATAAGTAAACGTAGTAGTAAAAACTGCTTAGAAGTTGGCTTTCAACTTACTTTCCAGAAGTTCCTGTAGCTTGTGGCCTACTTCTAATTTAATAATAGGCAAAACTTGTTTTCTTGTATGGAAGGTTATGTTTGTTTTGGAGTGATGGCTTTTGTTTTCATTTTGGTTCTCCCTCATTTTAAATCTATTTGAAAACTATTGAAATCATTTTTTCAGCATCTGCGAGTTGTACTGTGCTGTAAAACTATGTCAGAGGGTTTTTTCATCCTTACTTTGAGCTTTATTTATACTGTAGAGAATATACACAGATTTACATTCTGATCTGTACTTTGTATATACTGGTAAGTAGTCTTTTACAATTTTAATTTGCAAAACCAAGTAGTTCCACTTTCTCCTTTAACAAAGTATTTTTCATAATTTTTTTTGTTCACATCATTTATTGCCTAAAATCTTACTTTATATCTTTCCTTTGTTATATGGGCAACTATAACTGACCAGCATGGATTTTAGATTTTGCTGTAGCTAACTGTGCATTTTTTGTGAGTTTCTGATATCCTTAGTTAATGTTTCAGCTTAAACAAAAGTTGTCTTCTAGGTAACAGGGGAGGCACAGTTCTTCTCCTGTCTTACAGGAAGTTAAATCTTTTGAGTTGTGTGATTAGTCATTCTCTGTGGATTACTTTAGGAACATAGGTACAACAAAATAGTTATAGTTGGAATTATTGATGAAAAAAGAGTCTTTTAAGATACCAAAGTAAATTTTGCTACTTCGTGGGTTTTTTTCTTCCATTTCATCAATTCAGAAGCATGGGGATTTAAAAAAAAAAAAAAAGGCAAAACTGTATCAGTTTTCAGTAATTTTTCAGTAATATCCATGGAAGATTTTTGTTTGCATTTTTCTTTCTTTTTCCTACATGTGTAAGGCATTGTCAGCTAAATAGCTTGACTGCTTTTATGGTTTGAACGAACCAAATTAATTCCACTTACAAGTATAGTTTTTTTTCATGAGCAGGGAACCTAAAATGTCTTTGTGAAATGCTTGCATTTTCATATCTTTTTTTCCCATATGGTATAGAGATACATTAAAGCAGCTATTATTTTTTCTTTATTTTCTTTGTTTAATAACCAATTTTTTTAACTTCTATGTAGCTTATTTTAGATCTTTATATCTCTCAAACAATACCTCCCAATCTTCCACTTTGCTTAAATCAAGTTTATTATCACCCGTTTCTTTTTCCACTGTTTTCCATGATTATCATACCAATTATGATATAATAAATTATTTTATTTTTGCTTTTGTTAATTTGATACTTATACAGATGTCTAGGTTCTTGTGTTGTCTTTTTTTTTTTTCCATGGTTATCTGACTATGTGGAATTCATAGTATAAAAGAAGCTTTAGAGAAGCTGCATCAGTTACCATAATTTGTTCCTTTACCATTTAAACTGCCATTCTTTTGTCAAATATGGCAGCGCATTGGCTTATTAACCTTTTAAATTTTTTTTGTCAGATAATCTTAGTGTTTTTAACATCTACTGTTTGGCATTTAAATCACAGTTAAAGCAGGTGTTTCCATTTCCTGCACAAGCATCTTACTGATAGGACAAGTTAGAATGGTTTTAAACTAAGAGAAGGGAGATTTAGGTTAATTACTAGGAGGCAGTTTTTCACACAGAGGGTGGTGACACAGTGGAACAGGTTGCCCAAGGAGGTTGTGGATGCCCCATCCCTGGAGGCATTCAAGGCCAGGCTGGATGTGGCTCTGGGCAGCCTGGTCTTGGTGACCCTGCACATAGAAGGGGGGTTGAAACTAGGTGATCTTTGAGGTCCATTTCAACCCAGGCTATTCTATGATGTTGGTTTCTCTTTGGCTAAAAAAATTGCTGGACAGCATGTCTTTCTTGCAGCTAGTCTAGTTTCTCACTTCCAGTTCAGCAGTTTTGGCCTTGAGCTCTGTAGTATGTG